ACATTATATCTTCTCTCCTTCAGCATCCACGCATTGAATGACTCTGCAAGGTTTGTTGTTATGTTGTCCCATCGTTTAAAAGGGAACTTGCTTAAGGCCCACTTGTGAATATCACCATGATTGACAAGCCATTCAAATAATTGGGAATTGAAGTGTCTCATGTTATCCATTGCTTGATCAAACTCTGTGTCAAGCCTTGCATATGCAATGGCATCTAGGAAATGCAGTCCATCCTAGGGGTGAGCAAAACCGAACCGAAACCGAAAACCTAACCGAACCGAAATTAATTCGGTTTTTTCGGTTCGGTTAATTCGGTTTTTATTTTTTTTTCGGTTAGTTTTTTCGGTTATTTCGGTGTTCGGTTTTCGGTTCGGTGTTCTTGATAAAATTTCGGTTATAACCGAATAACCGAATAATAAATTATTTTTTATTTTTTAAAATTTTTTTCTCTTTTTCGGTTTTTCCTACGATTTTTATTCCTATGTTTTTTTTTTATCAAAATGCTTCGGTCCGAATAATACCCCAGCGCAGACCTCACTCCTCCTCAGTCTCAACTCTTGCGCAGCCTCACTCAGCAAAGTGCAAACCCTTATCGTCTTGCCCTGAACCGCACACCCACCGACCGCCGCAGCCTCCTGTCATCCACTCATCCTTTCTCACTCAGGCTCAGCTTCTCGCCTCTTGTCTGTGGCTTCAGTGTATTCGGACATTGCCTTGCCCCTGCGATTCTGCAAAGCTTCGTCTTCTCCAGTCTACCGTTCGGCGATCGACAGCTTCGTCTTCTCCTTTCTAGTCGACGACAGGCCGACAGCTTCATCTTCTCCGGCAGCTTCGTCTTCTCCTCTCCAGTCTCCGACAGCCTCGTCTTCTCCTCTCCAGTCTACCGTTCGGCGACCGACAGCTTCGTCTTCTCCTTTCTAGTCGACGACAGGCCGACAGCTTCATCTTCTCCGGCAGCTTCGTCTTCTCCTCTCCAGTCTCCGACAGCCTCGTCTTCTCCTCTCCAGTCTCCGACAGCCTCGTCTTCTCCTCTCCAGTCGCCGTTACAGACTTCGTCTTCCTGAAGCATACTTTCAGATAGCATTCGTGGGTGGTGAGTCCGTCGTTAATGCTCTGTTCTTAGTTGGTTTCTAATATAATATATTGCCATCAGCTAGTGCTTCAATGTTGCGTTGTGAATAATAGGCCCTGTGTGAGTATGTTCTGGTATATTCATCAATGAACAAATAGAAAACCTGAATCCATATGTTATGGCTTAAATGCATGTGATTGGAACAATTTAAAGGGATAGGAGTGTGATTTTTCACATTGAGAAGATACGCAGAGTTCAGGCTCTTAGTATCAAATTTCAAGTTATATAATAGAGTGAGAATCGGTGACGGTGACTTGCTCAAGTTGTATAATTTGAAGTTTGAACCGAACTAAGAAGTCATATTAATGGGTGATAAAGATACAACCTCGTTTCTGTGTTACAGGTTTAATTTGGGGATGAATACTGATTAAATGTCCTTTTCTAATTCCATGGCTTTCACATTTCACCTCGTAGAGATTGTGTTTTTAGGAAATTAGAGCTTTCCTGGTTTTTCTGTGAAGTCAGGTGCTTGTGGTTGTACACATTGAACCGGACTAAGTTATATTCTTATGTAACATAGCCTTATCTATTCATTATAAATTGTCTTCATTGGTTTCTCATATAATATCTTGTCATTGGTTTTGTTTATTTAATTAGATGTCTTCTCACGGTGAAACCATGGGTGATGCTCAAGTTGGGGATGATGGTACTACTCAAACAACAAAGCCTTCAATGCCAGTAACAAGTGGAACAAAAAGAAAAAACATGAAGCCAAGATCAAAAGTATGGGAGCATTTCACCAAATTTGTGAATGAAAGAGGTGAAATTAGAGGTAAGTGCAATTATTGTGGAAATGATCTTGCATGTGATCCAAAAGCTAATGGAACAACTGCACTTAATAACCACATGAATTCTTGTAAATTGAAGCCCCCTCCTGAAGAACTTGCACAATCTCTTTTGAACTTTAATGTAGAAGATGACAAAATAGGTCTTGCAAATTGGAAATTTGATCAAGATGCTATTAGAAAAGCCTTGTCATGCATGATAATTACTGATGAATTACCTTTCAAGTTTGTTGATGGGAGTGGGTTTAGGCAATTTATGTCTATTGCTCAACCTAAATTTAAAATTCCATCAAGATGGACTGTTGCTCGTGATTGTTTTGGGATTTATATTGAGGAAAAGGTTAAATTTAAAGACTATTTGTTGCATAAAAGGCAGAGGGTTTGCCTCACCACTGACACTTGGACATCCATTCAAAGAATTAATTATATGTGCATTACTGCTCATTTCATAGATGATGCATGGACATTGAGAAAGAGGATTTTAAATTTCATTCCAATTTGTAGTCATAAAGGAAAAGATATTGGAATAGAAATGGAAAAATGTCTACTTGAATGGGGAATTGAAAGGGTGCTCACAATTACTGTGGACAATGCCAGTTCTAATGATGTCATGGTTCAATATTTAGAAGGGAAAATTATGAACTGGGGCCATTCAATTATGAAATGTCAATTCTTACATATGAGATGTGTTGCGCATATAATTAATTTGATTGTTACTGATGGGTTGAAGGAAATAGGAAGTTCAGTGAAAAAGGTTAGAGAAGCTGTCCGCTTTATTAGGCAATCTCCCCTTCGAATGAGAAAGTTCAAAGAGAGTTGTGAGGATGAAAAGATTCAAAATAAACAAATTTTATGTTTAGATGTCCCAACTAGGTGGAACTCTACCTATTTGATGTTAGAGACTGCTCAAAAATTTGAGGCAGCCTTTAAAAGGTTTGAGGATAAAGATCCTTATTTTCGATTTGATCTTGAAGATGGAGAGGGGGTGCCTGAGTCTGAAGATTGGAAGAATGTTAGGAGGATGATCATGATGTTGGGTCATTTTTATGAGCTTACTGTGCAGATTTCTGGCTCTTTATTTGTAACATCTAATACCTTTTTTCGTGAAATTTATAAGGTATACCGTTTCTTGGATGAGTGGACTAAATGTGATGTTTGGGAATTGGCTTCCATGGCAAACAGAATGAAAGAGAAATTTGATAAGTATTGGGGAGATCCTATGAAGATGAATCAACTTCTTTATATTGCTGCTGTTCTTGATCCCCGATATAAATTAGATTGGGTGCAATTTGCTTTATGTAAAATGCACACAAATGCAATTGGTACAAGTTTGGGGATGCACATTAAGGAACTTCTAATTTCTTTGTATAATGAATACAAACACATTTTTTCCCCCTCAACCCAATCTGAAAGAGAGCCCATGCATAGCACACAAGAGGATTGTCATGAAGATGATGATCCTGCTGTAAAAGTCAGAAAATTACTTGATATTGAGGAACAAGAGTTCATGAATGAGCGTCTTGGTGGAAGAACTAGCAGAACTGAGGTTGATAGATATTTGAATGAGGAAATTGAGATTAATAAAGAAGATTTTGATATTTTAGGTTGGTGGAAGCTAAATGGTCCTAGATTTCCTATTCTTTCTCTATTGGCTAGAGATGTTTTGGCTATCCCAATTTCCACAGTTGCATCAGAGTCTACATTTAGCACTGGAGGACGAGTTCTAGATTCATTTAGGAGTTCTTTAACTCCTAAAGCTGTGCAATCTCTAATTTGTGCTCAAGATTGGCTTAGACGCTCAATTCAATATGTTGTAGAAGAAGGGAATGATGATATTCAAAAGATAGAACTTGGTAATAGTTTACTTTTATTTCATAATATTATAAGAATAATATAATACTTGATTTATTGTAATATATGAAGTCTTATTTTGTTTCTTTGTTTTTGTGTGTAGATTTGCAAAAAATTGCATTGGAGGCAACTGTTGATATATTGTAGCTGCCAAGGTAAAATACTTGAGTAAGCAAATTTTGTGCTGAAGATGTCAAATGATTTGGATCGGATAAGTAAGTAAGTAAATAAAAAACAAGTAGCAACAAAATTAATAAGGATAAAGAGGCTAGCTGTGAACGAATATATGAGAATAATAATAGCAAGAGAGAAGAGGATAGGGACGAGGGAGTCAATGGGTTTACTTCTGTTTTATGCATTTCAACCCCACATTTCATTATTCGCACTTCACGGTCCTGAAATGATTTTTTTTCCTCCTTATTTTGAAATGATTCGCACTTCTGTTTTATGCATTTCAACCCCACATTTCAACGAATATATCATGTATGCAATGTCTTGAAATGATTTTTTTTCCTCCTTATTTTGAGTATGGTCGCTGGTCTTGACATGATCCCTGATGCATAACAGAAATACAGAATCATGGTAATTCAGCTGTTTTTTTTTTTTTAGTTCTAAAGTTTTGCACTCTCTAATTTTCTTATTTTCTTGTTTAATTGTAGTTGTTGATGATTTGGCGTTGGTGGCAAGTTACATGCAAGGAATTTGGGCATAAGGATTGGCTGGAATTTGTTGTGATTTTAAATTTTACATGTTATGTTGTTGGTACTTGGTTGTTTTGTTTGGATTTTAATTATATTTGGATTTTTTTTGTTATTGGTTTGTATGTTCTTAAAGATTGACACTTGAAAGAGGTTGATTATTATTTATCCTACTATTATGTATTTATCTTTTAAATTTAATGTGTAACTAGCGGACAAAAAACCAGAAATGGAGGACTTGTAAAATTTGTGAGATGCAAGTGGCAATTCAAAATAAAAACATATTTTAATGGCCATTCGGGGTTATAGGCGAGCAAAAGCTGTGTGGTGTCATGGAGGCAAAAACTGAATCAAGAAAGAATTTAAGTTAATGGGATCTACCCCAAAAAACAAAAAAAAAAAGGGTCCAATGTCTTTGGGCCATAACAGTGTTACAAGGGCCCAATAACCGAATTATACCATTAACCGAACCGAAATATTTTCGGTTATTTCGGTTCGGTTATCTTATTGCATTCGGTTTCGGTTCGGTGTTGTTTATATGTAATATTCGGTTATTCGGTTATTTCGGTTATTTGCATTAACCGAACCGAATAACCGAATGCTCACCCCTAGTCCATCCTCCCTTGTGTTGCCACTTGTCTTCCTTCTTCCTCTATTTAACTTGATCATTTGTGTACTGAAATTCTCCTTAACATGTCTGTAACAGTACGCATGTCGCTCACCTCCGAATATTGCTTGCACAGCACCTATAATTGCATTGTGTCGGTCTGAAATGATTGTTAATTGCATTGACCCAATTATCTCCTTGATCATATGTAAGAACCATGTCCAATCCTCAAGCGTCTCTCCCTTCACAATCGCAATGGCAAAAGGTAATAATTCGTTGTCCGCATCATAAGCCGACGCTGAAAGTAGTGTCCCCTTATACGGTCCACTTAAATGACTTCCATCAATATACAGTACATGTCTAGCACCAGCAATAAAACCCTCTATACAACACCCATAGGCTATGAATACACGCTCAAATCTGTTGTTCCTTGCAGCCACCCATTTTGCCACTGTTTTGTCATCGGTTTCCTTCAACCGGTCACATATCCATGGAATAAGCATGTAAGAATGATCAGGTCTGCCATGTATGTCCTCCAACGCTTTTTCCTTGGCCCTGTATGCTTGCTTATATGTCAACTTCACACCATAATCTCTTTCCAACCTCTTTTTTATATCATTTGGACGCATGTCTATATGATCCCTAACCTCTTCAATTATAATTGATGATGTCAAGCTAGTTGATCTACCATGTGTCACATGAAGATTGTCTTGGGCATTATGAACATGCTCATTTTTGAATGTCGTTACACGTAAAAATGCTGGAGTACTCTTTACAGCTGCTCTTGCACTGATCCTCCATGGACAACCTTCAACATTGCATTTGACATACATATGGGCATTAGAATTCTTCACATATTTATACTCAAATTTGTTTGCAATGCTGAATTTGTGTAGTTTCTTCTTGAAATCATCCGCATCTGGAAAAGTCTGCCTCAATCCTAACAATACTGTTTTCCATTTCAGGGAATTCATTCCTGGCAAAGGAGTTGGTGCACTCTCTACTGCATATGGCAGGCTAAGAACATTTTCAGCTGCTATGTAATTCACACATTCGACAGCATCCTCAATCATTGGCTCATCATTTTGCTGTGACAGTCCTGACAATTTTGACATGCTGCATGTATAATTACAACATTTGTTATGATATTAACAACAACATTATCGAAAGTAACAACTTCCATAATCCGAAACTTGTGACTTACCTGTTTCGATCAGCCACTTCTTCCTCCGTATTCTCATTACCTTTAGCTGCTACGTATACATGTGCATTACTATCATTATACTCAAATAGGTTGTCAACTTCATCATCATCAATAAGATCTATTAATATCCTATCATTCAAGCCCAATGTGTATTTAATGTCGCAACCATTACTATCTACACCAAACCATTCTCCTATCATAACCCTCAAATCTTCAAGCCTTATACCCTCCTTGATCACTCTTACCCTGACAGTTCCACCATAGTACTTAACTTCACCATCACCATTTTCTGCAAACTTCCCACCCACATGAAAGTAACAAGCAAGACGCTTTGAAGATGTTGACCCAATGTTAGATGTCATCAAAGCTACCTAACCTGCACCACAGAAGCATAAATCAATATTTTAGTTCCCCAATAATCAATTTCATTTATCAGGATTTCTAAACTTTTCTTGCGATTTCACAAAAAATGCAACACCCAAAATACGTCCGCGCACACTTGCTACATTGACAACTTAAATATGGGATTTCACAACTCCAATAATGAATTTGACAACACTGACCACCTCATGCTTACTGTTAGCCCTCAATCTTCATGCCCACGTTATCAGTTCCCACCATTTTTTCATTTCCGATGTATCGCTCTCTCATCCTGGTCAGATTCTTCATTTAAACCATCTACACTCATAAACCCATCCCCATTAGACCATGTACCAGTAAACCGACTTGAAAACCCAAACCCATCATTAAGCTCCACTTTCTTACGTAATACCCACGTTCAACCCCTCTCTCACTACAAACCAGGTTGCCCACACAGCAATTCCACCGTAATGAATCAGATTTGTACAATGGTGAGAGTTGGAGGAGTAGATAACAGCATTTTAGGAGAAATTTTCCTTACCTTTTCCGTCTTCTCAGCGTTCGACTCTGCTCCGCCTCCGTTTTCAGCTTCTCATCTCTCGCTCATGTTACGTGTCATGCCTTTGTCTTCATGAGTTCAGACTGATTCAGGGGCATTTCAGTCTTTTTGGCGAATTACTCAAATTCCAGATTGATACCCCATACCCATTTTGTCATTTCAGTAATTTACATGCCCATTTTGTCATTTTAGAATTCAACAGTCATTTTCTTGTCATTTTCCCTTTTTTTTTTTTTGGGGGGGGGGACGAGAGGGGAACTTGACCGGGCACAAGAAGTAAATTCCGTCTTGTCCTTAGTCGCTGGGACAGGTCCGGGAGCAGCCCGGCATTGAATGCTAGCATACAAATAGGGCCCTAAGCTTTCAATTCATATTGGATTTACATTTTCTAAAAAAATGTTCGGCAACTTTCAAAAACACATTTAAAAAACTATATTTTCGTAGAATGAAACAAATTCCTCTGTATATTTACTTCGTAAACTGTAAAAGTACTTTTAAAACTATGATTTGGTTTTCATCCAAACACATCCTAAGTAACAACTAATAAATTAGAGTCATTGTGGCTAATACTACTCCGTCCCTAATTATAAGAACTTTTTGGCCAAATTACACTTTTTAAAAAAACAATTAAAATTAGTTAAAAGCAATTAATATGTAACAATATAATTTTTTTTTCAAATATACCCCTAATAAATGTAAGAGAGTAATAATGAAATAGAAAGAGAGAATATATGGAGAGAGAATATATGAAATTTATTAGGAATAAAATAGGTAACAATACATTAAATGCTCAGATAAACTTAAAAAGGACTTTTAAAAAAAGGACAAATCTATTAAAAAAAGATCTTATAATTAGAGACAGAAGGAGTAATCATATGGCCGAGTGATCCCAACACTGAACATCCCATTTTTGTGCAAACTATCATCTCACTTCACGCCATAACTATTGACTGTTAGGTAGTGTTTGGTTGGGGTTTTTTCGAGGGGAGGAAAAGGAAGGAAAGGGGAAATGGAGAGATGAGTGTGTTTGGTTGGGAAGAGAGAAGGGGAGGAGAGGGGAATTAAAATTTTTTGTCTTTGTCCTATCCCTTGCCCTTCTCCCCTTCTCCTCCCAAACCGGGAGGTTTTGGAAGGGAGAGAATTAATTTGCCATTTCTTGACTAAAATAGTCTTTTTGTTTTTTCAATATCCTAATTTTATCTGGCACTTCCTTTTCGGCAGTTCCTTCCTATTCACGTGTTGTTAGCTTGTCCCGTCCTGGTCAATTCAGGATGAGATTGAACGAGAAAATTTTTTTTTGAATAGGACAAAACAATAATCAGAATGAGACAGGGTTGTACCATCTCATCTTGTTTCAGGATATTTATTTAGTTATTTTTTTTAAAAATTATTTATTAAATTAATATTACTGTTTGTTTTTTTTCAATTATTTTTTTTTTTCTGTCAAGGGCATGATTTTTTTTAACTTATAATTCTAACTTAAAATTGCATTGATTGGGGAGGGGGGGAACGAGAGGGGAACTTGACCGGACACAAGAAGTAAATTCCGTCTTGTCCTTAGTCGCTGGGACAGGTCCGTGAGCAGCCCGGCATTGACTGCTAGCATACAAATAGGGCCTAAGCTTTCAATTCATATTGGATTTACATTTTCTAAAAAAATACTACATTCAGTCCTTAATATAAGATTTTATTTAACTTTTAGTTTGATCTTAATTATAAGATCTTGATCTATTTTATCTCTCATATTTATGTATTTTTTACAAGGTAGTCCTTCTAATAATGATAATTCTAGCCAATACACTTAATTAGCAAGGATATTTTAGGAATGACAACACTTATTTATTACAAATAACTAACTTAACTTATTTCCTTAATCTCCTCAAATTAGTCAACTGGGTCTTATAATTAGGACTGGAGGTAGTATTTGACAACTCTCAAAAACACTTTTAAAAAATATTTTTTCGTAAAACAAAATAAAATTTTCTATATATTCATGTAAACTGTAAAAGTACTTTTAAAATTATGATTTGGTTTTCATCCAAACACCTCCTAAGTAACAACTAATAAATTAGAGTCATTTTGCCTAATACTACTCCGTCCCTAATTATAAGAATTTTTTGGCCAAATTACGCTTTTTAAAAAAACAGTTAAAATTAGTTAAAAACAATTAATATGTAACAAATATAATTTTTTTTCAAATATATTCCTAATAAATGTAAGCGAGTAATAATGAGATAAATAGAGAAAGAATGTATGGAGAGAGAATATATGAAATTTATTAGGGTAAAATAGGTAATAATACATTAAGAGCCCATTTGGTTCAATGTAGACCTGCAATGGTAATTGTAATTACATTACCAAGATATGAATGTTTGGTTACTCTTTACTATGGTAATAATCTTTACCATGGTAATAATGATTACCAAAAATTTGGTAATCTTCATTCATCCCTCCCCCCTTATGAATCATTATTACCATCTCATTGCATACTTCAAAAAGTCTCTTGTGCCCTCCAATCTTTATTACCTTCTTCGACCTTTTCTTTATCATCCACCCCTTCGCACCGTTGATGAACTTACCACCGTGAGCACCGCCACACCCAACACCCACAATAACCATCGTTCCAGTCCCACGTTCACCACCCAAAATATTGTAATATTCCGATTGTATTGTTCAGATCTGAAAAAGAATAGCTCTGTGATACTGTTTTTTCCAGCATAAAGGGAAAGGGATGATGTCCCAATATGGAGCGCCAAATAACACTGATTGGAGTGTTTGTTGTCATAAAGCTGAAGAAGTTTGATGATCATGAATTGCCTCTAATTGGAGATAGCCATAGAAATGATGGTGACCACTATGAACTGCCTCCAACAATATTTTTTTATTTTTTTTTGGGTTTGCTCGAGGAAGAAGACTGTGAATCTATACTCGGGCTTCAGATTTTTGTTGGGAAAGAAGATAATGAATCTAGAAAGGAAGGATCGGGAAAGGAGTTCTTTTTTCCCCGGTTGAGAGGCATTATAGACATTTTAGTATTAACTTTATTTGATTAAATATAAAAGGTAATTTTTTTGCTCAGTCTTCTTAATGACATACCAAACATATGGATGGTAATAAACTTTGCATTATATTCCATTGCATTACATTGCATTACCATCTCTAGGCATATAAGAATTGAACCAAACGGCTCCTAAATGTTCAGATAAATTTAAAAGGGATCTTATAAAAAAGGATAAATTTATTAAAAAAAGATCTTATAATTAGATAGGGAAGGAGTAGTCATATGGCCTAGTGATCCCAACATTGAACATCCCATTTCTGTGCAAACTATCATCTCGCTTCACCCCATAGCTATTGACTGTTAGGTAGTGTTTGGTTGAGGTTTTTTCGAGAGGAGGAGAAGGAAGGAGAGATGAATGTGTTTGGTTGGGAAGAGGGAAGGAGAGGAGAGGTGAGTTAAAATTTTTTGTCTTTTTCCTATCCCTTTCCCTTCTTCCCCTCTCCTCCCAAATCGGGAGGTTTTGGAAGGGAGATAATTAATTTACCATTTCTTGATTAAAATAGTCTTTTTGTTTTTTCAATATCCTAATTTTATCTGGCACTTCCCCTTTGGCAGTTCCTTCCTATTCACGTGTTGTTGTTTCTGATTTATCAGTTTCTCTAATGTTTTTCATTCTTATTTTGTTTTCTTTTAGATTATGTCGTGAAGGTCAATATTTTCTTGTATGTTTGTAATCTTCTTCCTTCCCTTCAACTGTAACGAGTAGTGAACAGTCTCTCAAAATTTTCCTGGTAGAAAAAAGACTGGTGATGAAAAAGGACATGTGATTTTGAAAAGAGGAGCTGGCGGTGGTGGGATGTGCGAAGAAGATAATAATACTAAGAAGATAAGGGGTTGTCCAAATATGCGGTTAGGTATGGAAGATGATATAATAATGAGGGTTTTTCTTGTGTTTTAATTTGGGCTCTCATATTTAACAAGAACAAACAGTAATATTTTTTTAAATAAGTATTTTTTAATGATATTTCTCTACCACTATTAATAAATTAAGAAATAATAATTTTGATATAAATATTATAATAAAAAAATAAAGTAATCTAAATAGAGAGATAAAAACATATTTGTTAATTTATAATTACCTTCTTCCCTTTCTTTTTATAAACTAAATAAGAAATCCCTTTTTTCTTCACCTCTTCTCTAACCAAACCAAAACCATGACCTCTCCTTCCTTCCTTCCTTCTTTTTTTTTTCTAATTAACCTCTCCACCCCTCACCGTTGTCGAACCAAACAAAGCCTTAGTTAAACCCATTCCTTCCATTTCTTTCTCATACGAAATCTTCATAATCCAACCAAAAGGGAACCGCTAACTGTGACCAAATGGGGATTGGAGATCAAGTTTCGAACGACGAAGGAGGTTCGTACTTCCCTCTCGCTGCCGCTAGTGGAAGCGGCTGCGCCGAGGTGAACAATGCCGACAACCAACGACTCAAGCAGCTCGGTTACAAGCAAGAGCTTAGCCGCAGCCTGTCGTACGTCAAAATCGCGATTCTCTCTCTCTCATTTCTATTTGATTCAACATCCATTTGTTTCCGGAGAAAACGCCATTCTGATGGATTGCGCAATCAATGCAGGGCGGTGGCGAACTTCTCGATGGTGTTTTCGATCATTTCGGTAGTTACAGGGCTGACGACGTTGTACGGAACGGGACTGAGGTTCGGTGGTCCGGTGACGATGGTGTATGGGTGGTTGATCGTGGGAGCCATGACGATGACGGTGGGCGTATCGATGGCTGAGATTTGTTCTGCGTTTCCGACTGCCGGTGGCCTCTACTTCTGGAGCGCGAGGCTGTGTGGTCGCCATTGGGGCCCTTTCGCTTGTTGGCTCACCGGCTGGTTAGTTCTCTTCCACATTCATAAATTTATACTAATTTTTTAATATTTTAAATGCCAAAAAAATTTAAAAAAAATGAATTTAAATTGACGGATTTTACAAGTTTAACATAGGCAAAACATGGGCGAACTTAAAATTGCTGCTTAAGAATGCATCATGAATTAATACTACATTCTTGCGAATTTTCTTGATAAGTTATTACTTCACTTGTGATTCTTGAGAGGGAGATCCAGATTAATAATTTCATCACCCAAATTTATTTTATTACTTCTAATCTGTAAGTATTATGACCTTCATATATCGTTTTTTTTTTTATCTTATCACATACGTAAACTATATTAAATCTCAATTTTTAGTTGGCCAAAAAGAAAATCTCAATTTTTAAATTGTAAATTTATTTTGATTTTCTGTTCTCATGAAAATCTCTCTCATATCTCTCTTCTCTTAGATGAAATTTGTTCAGTAAGTTGGCTTGTTCTTTTTCTTTGTTGTTTTGGTGAAATTTGTGTGAGTTTAATTATAGGTAATTACTCACGTTCCATTACCACCTTAGCTATTTAATGGTAGCTATCTGTTTTGAGATGGAGGGGATGCATGGTGATTATAAGAAATGATGTGAATGAAAAATACTCATAAGTAAGATAATTGAGTTTTTAATTTAGGCTGAAGATACATATATTAGTAGATTTGCGTGTGATTTTGAAACTCTAAAAATTTGAATGATAAATATTTAATTTTAGGATCAAATTGATAATTGAAACAAATTTGAGGACTAAAAAATTCATAATTTTTATATAAGATCTCTATGAAATGTAGAATAGATCCCCTCGAATCCTTTTTATAAGCTCCAATTAACAATTTCATGTAAGTTAAGAAAGTTCATTGATATTAATTATTTTTGTAAAATCTCAAAATTACCTTCAATAAAACAAGTTTTAGCTAAAGAAGTTTGATTGATTAATTAACAAAATGATGCAGTTAGTGAGGGATATCAAATAAAAAAAATTAACTCTTTAAACAAATATGTTAACATGTAAGAAATCCTTATAACAAAGATTGGATGGGGTAGATATCATCGGCCATATGAGACCTACTAATCAAGACTAAGTCTTAATTAATTAGCATTCATGATGATAACTTTCACCAAAAAATCGCAAACCATGGCAATGTGTTTGAATGTTACACTACTTTCTGTACTTAATATAAGAGATAGATAATTAATTTATGAATATTAAGAAAATTACTAAAATTATATATTTGTAATAAGTGAATATTATTTTTCTTAAAATATACTTATTAATTATGTGTCTTAGAATTAAAATCTTTTAGCATGTGTAGTTATCATAAGAATTATTTTAAGAGAAAAAAATAAATAGAAAAGATAAAATAAATTAAGATTTTATATTTAGAATTAAATTAAATATCTAATTAGTATTTATATTTATTACCAGAGGTAATATATACCTAGACTTCAATGTAATGCCCAAAGATGAGCCCCAGGCTTGAACGAAATAAAAGGAATGAAAAGAAATGCCTCATGCAGTTAGGGATATTAATGAATTAGCTTGGTTAAATCTCAAACCTCATCGTCCAACGTTACAAACTTAACCAATTGATTTATAGAAGCAAAATTGGATCTGTCCCCCCCCCCCCAAAAAAAATTTGTTCAAGCGCATCATGTGAGCGGTTTGGCTTGGTTGGGTTTATCTATTTCTTTTCCTAAAGCTTCAATTAGTTTAAATAATAATTAACTTAAAGCAAATTTTCATGCGCAGATTCACATGAGCTTCATAATTCACATATGTACTCAAACAACATTTTTAAAATAACTGTACATAATTATAAATTATATACAAATTTACTGAATTTGTTTTTAAAATTATAATTGTACTAAATTTAATTAATTCTTGAGATAATTGAACTAAATTGATTGCCAGAAATTTTATTGGGCCTAATTTAATATTTTGAGGCCTAGTTTGGACTTGCTTGTGGTTAGTGGGGCTTTATTGACCCAAAAACTAGCTAGTGGGCTGGTTCGTGAAGTGATATATTGTAGAAATAAACAATAACTTTTCGTGAAATAATATTTAAGTAATAAAAATATAGTAAAGTCCATATGTTTGATATCTCATCTGACACACGGTGAATAGAAAAATTATTTTCACCAAAGCTGGAGCTGGTAAATGGAAAAAGTAAAAAAAAAAAAAAAAAACCACTAGGTCCACTTTTCTTCGATCCCTCCCCCCAACTTCCAGTACAACGTTATTATGAAATTATGATTGATGTAATAATTGTTTGAGCGCATATGGATGAAATAAAGACGAGTGCCTCTTGGTCAACTTGTGGTCCTTTCTTCAAGATTCATAAATGTCTCTGCAATTTTTTTTTTTAAATATTCCTACATCACATGCAGTAGAGATATTAATAATATTATTTTTTAAGCATTATTTTGGCATCTCTAGCTTTTTGCATGATAAATACTATTAATTTCCAGACAAGTTTTATAATAATTTCAACTTGTAGATGAAATGATCTTTACATCCGACATTACCACTGCATGATCCCTGGGTCTTTCTAAATTAAACCTCTTATAATCCTTTCTTTTCTTCTCCCCCCCCCCCCAAAAAATGATTTACGTACTTATAGTTTTTTAATAAAAATTTCAACTAACAATTTTATACTTAAAAAAGCTTAAAGGTGACACTAGCTTCTTTAATATAAGAATTAGTTTGATTTTAATTTTAATTCTAAATATAATATTTTAATCTATTTTGTCTCTCATATTTATTTAATTTTTAAAATAATTCTTGGAGTAATTGCAGATGTTAAATGTTTCATCAAAAAATAACTATAATCAATATACTTGATTAGTAAGAGTATTTTATAAAAAATAATACATATTTATTACAAGTAACTAACCTAATTAATTTTATTAATTTACTTAAATTAGTTAACTAGTTCTTATATTAATAACCAATTATAGTATTTAGTATTATTAGATTTATAAGGCCTCAACCTCTCGTATGAGGAGGAGTGTTAAGTAAGGGTTTGTTTGGAATCCTAGGAGGAACTTCCAAAATAGTTTTCAATCATAATTTATAAATATGAGATAAGTATATGAGAGCGATTTTATTATAACACGATAATTAGAAGTAAATATGAGAAAAAAGCAAAGCATAAGCCTCATAAGAAAATAGGGAATTGCTATGAAATTAAAAAAAAAATTACTAAAAAGTTTCAATAACAATATAATAGTTTGCAATGCCAGATTTTGAAGTAATAGATAACAATTATTTACTTATCATTAAAACTTAGTGATAATTTTTTTTAAATCTCATTGTAATTCTCCAAAAAAATACACTGTGTGTGGGCTATTTAAAGTTGTAGGATTGCACCAAAGCTTATAGTCTTTTGGTCCTATTTATAGAACAGAAAAAGGAGACTTTTTTTAGTTCTATTTATAGGCTAGTGAGAGAAATTTTTTGTATAGGTATATAATTTTACGCTTCATTTATTATTGTGTTGATCTTATTTATATGAGAAGTGTAATATATTAAATAAGAATAAAATTAGAAAGTTGTTGAATTTTAAATAAAAGTTAATAAAATTTGAGGTTTTTCTTAGTTATAAATAGGACCAGAGGAGTAAATTTTTGCTGATTACGGTAGGGACACTTCTGTCTTTTCCCCTTGGAGTCTTGAACTAAGAAGGTGTTTGGGTAGAAACCAAATTATTGTTTTAAAAGTGATTGTATAGTATATAAAGTAAATATATGAAAGAGTTTGTCTTGATTTGAGAAAAATACTTTTGAAAATTATTTTTGAATATTTCCAATCCCCTCAACGATTCCATAAAGGGGCTGACCCCCTCATAATTTTTATATATGCACAGAATGAAGGATTAATATCATTGATCTAGTTTATAGCCTATTAGAAGTAAAAATCGCTTTGGTGGGATCTCACAGGCAGAAAGAGATTGTAGTCAATTTGGTAATCATCAAGTGACACCGGTTTTTTGGCCAGAATCAAGAAATCCCTTAAATATGATTTAAAATGAAGAGAAAAAGACAATAAAATACTACTTGAACTTCATAATCCCTAAATGGTCTGTTAAATTTGAAAAATCCCAATTTGGTCTCAAGAGACCAAATTGGAATTATCATGTTAAAAGAAAAGACCAAATTGTCCTTCATTTTAAATATTATTTTTAAAATATCACAGCTCCACTGGCCAGCCGGTCATCGAAGCTCTGGCGGCGGAAGTCGCCGGAGCTCTGACGATCGGTCGACAATTGGTCACCGGAACTTTGTCGGTTGGAAGTTTTTTTTTTTGAAAATTTTTACAATTTTAGTATAATGGTTAACAATTTTTGTAATACTATTAACAATTTTAGTATAGCAGTTAACAACAAATTTTTTGAGAAATTCAACAAGCTCTAGCAATTGGAAACAATTTTTTTGAAAATTTTTACAACTTCAATATAACCGTTAACAACTTTTGTAATACTATTAACAACTTTAATATATCAGTTAACAATAGATTTTTTGAAAAATTCAACAATTGGTTGTTGGAGCTCCAGCGGAGGAAAACAATTTTTTTTGAAAATTTTTACAACTTTAGTATAACGGTTAACAACTTTTATAACCATATTAACAACTTCAATATAACGGTTAACACTAGGTTTTTGAGTTTGTTAATGACATTACTAAAATTATAAAAATGTCACTTTTTGAATTTTCTAAAAAACCTATTGTTAAGTGCTATATCGAAGTTGTTAATTGTTATATTGAAATTGTAAAATTTTTAAGAAAAATGTAATTATTAACGTTATACTGAAATTGAAAATTTTTACAACTTCAGTATACCAGTTAACAACTTTTGTGATGTTATTAACAACTTCAATATAGCAGTTAACTATAGGTTTTTTGAGAAATTCAACAATTGATCGCTGGAGCTCCAATGGCTGGAAACAATTTTTTTTGAAAATTTTTACAATATTAATA